CTACAAAAGTTACTTAATATGAAGGGTTTTTGAGATTAGTACAGAGTGAAATCTACCTATTAACATTTGGTAAACAAAATCACACGACAATACGGAATTAATAGTACTATGAAAAATAACAATAAATCCATACTTAAAACTTTACTGTCGTTGATCACATGACTATCGATGAGTCACTGGTTTTATCCGGCCCGAGCGGTAGGGGAGGTCAAGTTGGTGTATTGCCTTCTGAATTATTAGCCGGACTGTAGGTTATTCGGGCGCGTGTAACAGTAACTAAGCTAAATTTTGAATGGCCCGTGTTGTCGAATGTGAAATTACTATGTCATCCGCTACTGATAACAATAACACTAAGTATACTACAGAAAATGACCAGATAACGTCGTCTAAGATAGCTCCAATGCTAATAAAAAATTGATCGTAGATGCCGATTCGATACGACGAATCCAGCCATTCGAGTACTTTCGACATTTTACAGATCAAAAAATACGACCAAATGGAAGGGTATTCAATCGGTTCAGAAAAACTACATTGAATCTAGGTTTTTATCTTTTTTTTTTCTCTTCTTTTACGGTCCGACAATTATCGATCCGGGTGATTCTTATTTTCTGTCTACTTAGGCTCGGTCACTACTGCAGACGGTTCGGCGGTGGTGAGAATCGGAAACACTTCTGCTATCTGTGGCATCAAGGCAGAAGTTGCAGAACCAAATGTAAACACGCCACTGGAAGGATACCTCGTTCCCAACGTGGAATTACCACCAATGTGCTCTCCCAACTTTAAGCCCGGTCCTCCAAGTGAACTTGCACAAGTACTAAGCGAGACTGTGAACAAGCTACTCAAAGGTGTGAGAGGTGGGAAGGCTATCTCGTCAACGTCGTTCGAGTGAGAAATTTACAGACTTGATTTTTTAGTTCTTCCGTATTATCGTTAGAGTCATTATGTATAGAAGAGGGCAAGGCTGTCTGCGTATTGTATTGCGATGTCGTCTGCATAAATTACGATGGCAACATTTTAGATGCGTCAGTCTATGCGGTTGTGAGCGCGCTTAGCAATGGTAAATGTTTGCAATAATAGACTATGGAACTGCGTTCACACACATCAGATTGTACAGTTTTAATCCATGTTTTATGCTCATAACATTGTCATTATCTAATGTCTAACACAGTAAGATTGCCCAAAATAACGTACGATGACGGCATTGTTAAAGCAACCCCGGATAAGACGATCGAACTGCCGTTATCAAGAATACCTTTTTCGGCAACATTTGCAATATTCGATGGGTTTGTAATGTTACAATATCCCACCTTTGTCATTTCAAAGTTTGCAAAAATCTAACATTTACATTCTCTCAGAGAGATTCTAGCCGACCCGGATGAGACGGAAGAAGCTATACTAGAAGAGCGAATAACGATAATATGCGACGAAAAAGGACAGTTATGCAGTATCTTGAAGTCTGGTGGTTCTTCATCTACGCGAGAAACATTTTCTACTTGCCTCGAGTTGGCGAGAAACCCATATTCTGTATTATCAACTATATTCAAAGAAGCGTCTGCAAATACTAATTGATTGGATTTTTATTTTTCAATTTGCGTAAGAACAAACGCTAGTTCAAATGCTAGCTCTTCGATTTCACCCAGTTGGTCATTACGACCAAAGTGATCCCTATCCTTGTTTATTTTCATTAGCAACACGCCCGCATGATCTCCTTGTGTGCAATATAAATCGGATAATCGATTTCTCATGCGTGCTACCCATTTAAGAGGCTGCCAATACGCTACTCGCTGATCTCTCATTCCAGCTGTTACTAGAATGGAAGGAGCCGGGTGTGTAATGTTCTGTTCGTTTCCAGTGCTTATGGATTCATTGAGCGTTGCGAGATTAGTAGGGATGTTGTCGTATGGCGCGTAGCTTTCGATGTATCTATAGGCTGCCTCGCTCTCTTTCGGATTTCCCCATTCATCATATTCCAGGCGAGTGAGGGGAATGGAAGGATTTAGCATGCTTGATAATGGGTCCAGAAAAGGTACGCGTAGAACAACGGCTCGAAATAGATCTAAAGTAGTCATTTGCTGATGAGTATTCTAATATACAGTGTGTGAATTCATTTTGTTGCTTACCTGGACGTGCGTTTAATACTGATCCTGTATCGCAAAGATAAATTTTAAGATGACTGTTACTTATTGAAAATGTGATATGTACTCGCTGGACCAACCAACATACCTAACGCTAGGCCTCCTGCGCTTGTCCCAATAGCAGTCATTCTCGACTTTGATGAATATCCCGAAAGTATAAGATATTCGACTGCCGTGATTATATCGATAAATGTATTCTTTTTTTTCATTGCTCGTCCATCTTCGTACCATTCGTGTCCCAACTCGCCTCTCCCTTACAAATTTTGTCTAGTCAGTTGGATTACGCGTGATATATGCACTTTTCTGTGTTCTTTTACCTGACATGTGCCAATGCAATGATCCAATTTCTCTCTACCAGAGGTAAATGTTCAACATGAAAGTCTGGTTCTGTCGGTAATCCGTACGCGCCGTATGTCCTGAGCAGTACGGGATTCCTGCATTTCACATTTGCGTGAGGGACAGGGAAGATAAAATGGATGTTTATATACACGTATAACACATATTTCGAACAATACCTTCCATCTAGTTTTTGAGTAAGGATATCGGCTCTAGAATAAAATCCTAACGGCTCGTCGAATTGCGTTGCTTTTGTCTTTTTTTCTTCTTCCCATCACGCGCTGCTACGATGGACACAACTAACTTACCAATAGCGAAAAGAAAAAGTAACATTACCCACGAAGAAGTTATCGCGACAGGCCCGAGCAAAAACAGAGGCGTGAACAAGAACAAATTGAGATGTCTCACGACTCAGATAATATAGTTTTCGACTCCAACTGAGTATATATCACCGTTTGTTTGTGCTAGACTATTTTTGTATTGATAAGACGCACTTGCCTTAGCTGTTATGGAACATAACGGAGCCATTAGTCAGATCCCCATGTTCTAGCGACGGTGATTTCGTTTGTTCTGCAAGATATAATCTGGCACTTTGCAAGTCGATTAGCGATGAGCTTTTATGTAAGTTTAGTATTTTTTTTCTTTATAATCAAGCACCGAACCCAGAAAGCCGCCCGTGGTCTATGTACTCAAGATAAGGTCGATTATTTAGAAAAGGAATGGACGAGTGTATCTTTTTTACCCTCAGATCGTAATCTAAAGAAATAAAAATTCGATCGGGGATCTCAACTAAAAATTTATTAATCGAGACATTAATCCGTGAAGCGAGGTTGGTTAGCGATACCTCTCCGAAAACATCCTCACACCATGAAACAGAAATTTCTGCATATTTTTTGGGTTTACTTGAAACTGATGTTATTAATGCGTCGAAGAACGATAATACTGCCGTCTCTACTTGTGATGAAGATAAAGAACAATGGATCGCTTTTGGACAGTTTTTTGGGGTTTAAGGAACCGATCAAAGAAGAGAGGTACGACGAATCAATGGGAAAGCTCCTGATGTCCAAAATAATAAAGATTTACAAGCTCTTTCCACGACCATCGCTGAACGTAACACCCGAAGAGAAAGGATCCAGTTAATCATGTCGGCACGTGATAATTTTCGATCGCTTGACGGGTTGGTGAGATTTCGTTTCATTATTTGATCCAGAGTGCATTGCTGACATGGACGGCGCTTTTTACTGCTCTTGAAAAACAGAAAAAGACTGTTTTTTTTTTCTTGGTCGCGCCGAACGATAGTGCATCTTGACCACCTAGCGACGAACGCTATCAATTCTTATTATTTCCACATCCATCGCATAGGAGCGAGAGTTTTTGGGAAATTTTTATTGAGCATTTTGGTGCATTCGCGTTAAACAATCTTTTTCCCTATACGAGTTCGAATAGTGCGAGTTGACCATCTAAAATGTGTTAACGAATTGATACGTGGTCTCGAACCATTGTCGAATTCTATTAATTGGTTTGTTGAGAATTGTTACGAAAATCTGTATGAAAAACTATGCAAATTGAAATGGGTGCATCTGCTTCAAGATCCTTTGGCATATTCCCGATGATCGCGATCAATTTCAACACAAGAATAGAGAAGCGATTTTCACTGGGACGAACATCATGATCCGAATTCTTTGTGTTACTTGGTCGCATTGGGTGATTTTGAAGCGTTTCCGGAACTTGAAGTAATTATACCACTTAAACCCAATCACATTGTTGCATTTTCATCACGTCCAATCACGAGAGGAATCCGTCACAGCGTCGTATATTTTGTCATTCTTCCATCATCTGCGCGATATGAAAGTAGGAATCCACGTAAATCTGTTGTTTCTTCGATTCCTCGGCAAAATCTCAACGACGCCCAAGATCTGAATATCATCATTGAATGCTTTGGTGTATTACCAGATATAAATTTAATTATACAAAGCTAACAGCTGCTAACAATTCGGCACTACGTGCCTCATCCTTGATCGATATACAGTATATATAAAGATCACGAATACTATTTCAGCACTACGTGCCTCAAACTTGGCCCTCATTGAGGAATTAACCAGAAAGCTAAGGCACTATGTGTCAGGTTCGGGCATAGCCCTCACATCGGGCCCACAACAATCTGGTCTAGTCAGCGATTAGATTTTATGCTGTAAATTTCGTTTACTCACAAATGGCCATGCTGATGACACATTGCCTCTTTTTAGTTATTTTTACATGAGTATATTAAAATAATAAATTATTGCTATTACTATTTAGTTTTCTGTTAATTAATAACTAGCTGATATATTTTGCTGGAATTGAGTTAGAACCATTATGATTACTTAAATCTTCTTTACTTCAATTCTTGGTCCATTTAACCATGTTCAACATTTATTGTGGGAATTAAACTGACTTTTGGAGTCCACCCTTAAAGCTCAGAAACCCACTTATACTCTTCTATTACTATTATCAAACACTATCCTCAATTCAAAAAAATTATCCCAAAAAATTTTAAAATTTTATATTAATATAGTAATAGGGAAAAGTCAGTTTGATGTCGTTTTAATCTGTCACATTTATTAACAACTCGTCGTTGTCAGCTGCATCAAGCTGTGATTACTGGCTTGAACAATTTTAATCCAACTGAATTAATACAGTATTAGTATCCGTTCAAAAATAAAGACATAAAAAACCAGCCAAAGTTTACTGTAACCACTGGTGCTATTGGCGTAGAGAAACCCACTTGGAATGTTATGTTTGCTAATACTAATACTAAGATACAATAACTATTTAACTAGATTAAAGATACTAAATTACATATTTTAATATATACATGTATATATGTGTCCCTTTTGACTTGTATTCTCATGAATAATATTTATTCATATTCAGAATAGTTAAGAAACAATAAATTGCGAGGGGAAAATCATATGAGGAAAATTTTGCTTGAATTGCAAGTAATTGCTGACAATCTACAGGTCAGCCTGAGTAAGTTCTTCTCTTAATTGTTGAGTTCTGGTCAAACTTTAGCAGCAAGTTTTGCTCTAATTTGTCGAGCCAAAGTTCTATATTCTCAAATGTATTGTTAGAGCTATCATCAAGTCTAATTGATATTGACTCGATGCATTTAACCAAATCCGAATATAAGTTATGCGTGTTTGTTAGTATAATGTTATATCAGGCTAACTCTTTGCTACTATTACTATTGCTCTATTTTTCGCATTTTTTGTAAATCTAGTCTTATGTCGGGCTACCAAGACAGCAACAGTAACCTCTTTCTTAATACTCGATAAACCCCACTTTTACCAATCAGGTAAGTAAGAAAAATTCAATTTCTGAAATGTAACTAAAATAAATGGTGGTGACATTAGATAGTCGCCTACACAGAATCGCTATAAACCTCGGTATTGTTCCAGACGGCTATTCGGTAATGGAGTCTCGTAAATTACGTCCTATCCCCTCTGAAACTCCAACTGGGTGGCGGCCCCCTACACTAAATAGCTACCTGATACAATAATTTGCAAGTTGTGGTCACAAGCGCTTTTGAAAACTCCCATTTACACCTAGTGGCAGGCACACCTTCGGATACAATAACTGTTAACAAATACTCAGAGAATAAATAATTACGATGAATCGATAAGAGGTAGTAATAAATAAAAAAAAAGTAGTGTTGTAGGTCCTGCGGACAGATATATAATAATAAGAGTAGGCGTATTTATCTCGAAACTGTGTCAAGCATCTATACATATACATTATCGTTGGCCACTTAGCAATAATAATAGTAATGGATTTTTAAATGAATAGTTTGTTGCATATACGATCATTAATAAAATGTTCCAGAATATCAAACGGGATAATTTCATTGATTGACCAATGAAATAGCAAAATCGTGTTAACATGTCTTTCGTGCATTATGTTTATTCCTCGAATATCTCTACAATCACAAACGTTACATGTTTAAAATTTTCACTGGCGATAACAGTAACATTTGTCTATTGTTGTTAAGATTATTATTAGACACGGGACATGTAGAGTGATTTTTCACACAAACTTTTGATGTTAACATGGGGGTTAACAATCGAAGTAAATTATTAAGTAAATCATGTACTCAAGTTGCATCTATTAAAAAAGACATAAAAATTCAATGTATAAAAATACGTGTTAAGTCAGCCGGAGATCTTTAACCGATTGTCATCTTGCATTTATCTGCCGATAAAGTTACACAATCGAAATAATTGTTGACCTGCAAACAGTCCATTGCGCTTACGATAAGCTGCCTACTGATTATGACGTAGCACTAAGCAAACGAATATGCATGAGCAGTGATTAGTACTAATTCGGAATGCGTAACAATCGTATTTGAGCAGTAGTCGTAAAAGACGCAGATGTACTGTACAACTTTTGGCACCTTTTTATCGATAAATCTTTTCCATGTCGATCATGCCGTAAACGTCCAGACAATTGCGTTTGTATGCATGTTTTGAGCCAATGGATAACAAATTTGTGACCAAAGCTTTTTATCCAGTGATCATTGGATGCGAGCAAACAAATTCGCAGAATATTTCGCTTTTCTTTTTTGGTATTTTCTATTACGAAATAAAATTCGTTTCGTTTTCATTTTAATGGTTACGCAGAAAAGACAAAGTATATCAGAGTCTATTATGACAATATTAATAACGTTTATTAAAAATTAAGTACGGCAACACCAACAATTGAAGTCTACGAAAAGTAAACGCTTTCCGATAAAAAAGACAATTGCCGAAGTTAACGCACCATTCGTGCCAGCAGCACCTCCCCAATTTTGAGTAATAAGAGAAAGAATGACGTGCGACCCCAATATATGAAATGTTGTCAAAAAATACACCAATACTATTATTATTTTTGGTATACGATTTGCTCCCTCTGCAACATCGTGCCTTTCCCACAGTTTGTAAATTACTATACTCACAAAAAAACCTGCTAGATACAATGACCATATCCATGTGCTGACAGATTCTTTTGTTTCTCGCACGTCTATACTCAGCGCTGTTAGACCTATCCACCCACAGAGTGATAATAAAGGTGTAGCAACCATACCAAGAGTCAGATAAAATCTGTTTCTTTCCTCTGTCACACCACCTGCGTACCCGTCATTGTATATTTTTACACTCCACGGAGTGAGTTGTCCGATCGCAATGAGTACTAGCATCCATTCTTCCCGACACTTGATACATGTGTAAATTGCCGGTCCTATAATCATAGTAAACGGAAAGATTGCCCATATTCTATCGGGTGAGCTATATGGCTGCCCCCATCGCCACGGCGTAAACAAAGGGCATCTTAAATGCACTAAAATAATAGCAGTAAGTGTCAATAACCAGCAGACAATGCCAAAGGCTCCGAATGGTAAGCCGTAACATTGTGCCTGCACTGATAGTTCGGCTTCAATATTAGCTAAAAACGGGGTAAGTATGAAACAAGGGTTTAGTCGAGTATGTAAAAATATATCTTGTGTTTAACTGTAAACATACCAGGATCATCACGAATATCCATCGTAGCAGAAAATTGTATACACGTATTTTTTCAAAATTTACTGCAAGATGACTGCGAAATAGACTGATATATATATTGGAAAGCCAGACATTCATCGTTTGTTATTGCATCAACAGGGAAACTGATAATCACTCCTTTACGGGTCGCTTGTGCTACAGCTGTTGCTGTAAGTATACAAACAATACGTAGCTACTTTATCTCATAACTATATTTGGTCCCATGCAAAACACCTTAACACGGCTGCCTGTAACAAAAGTAAGTTACATAAAATGGCAAGATCGTATTAATCAATCTTATTATGCGCGGGTAGTTCTTCCGCTCTCATTTATTGCATATTTAGGGTGATTATTATGACTCGCAAACATGTTCGAGTAGTGCAGCTTGAGGCTTATGTGACAGTAAACAAAAACAAATTATCGTAACCAATTTAACGTTTAGTGATATTTCCTCATTGTTCTATACCCTATATAGCACCAGTTAAGATAGTGAATTGTTTCAAACCATATAATAGCTAGAGTAAAAGAAAACTAGCAATTTATGCATAGGTAATGTATGTAATTTATCTCAGTATGATTACGCATAATTCCGCAATATATCAAATAAAAAAAAAAACGATTAATTTGTACCATAATTGAAGTCAGTACTGCATATCATAAACTCATAACATGTTTCTTAACCAATTTGTTTCCCGCATCATATTACACACATGTAATAGTGCCAATTTACATTATCTGCCGTTATAAATATGAGTGTCCACATTCTACTACACATTAAAAATTTTATTTCTCGCAATTACGGTACTTAGATATCTTTTTCTATAACAATTCATCTGATTTAAATACACAATTTTACCTGACGGTTTTCAACAAACGTTACCACTCGCACATACAAATCAAATTTCTGAATTTTGTCACTTTGACACCTCCCAAATAATATCCGGTAATTGTCTGTTGATACCATTTCTGTATGGAAACCTCGCCGCCTTCAAAAAAAGCTTCTTCAATTATGCGACGACCACTGCAATTAATTTCCTTACTTTCCTTGCGTGTATCATGGCCAACTTATATATCTAGACAAAAGCATACGAAGCACTGTCAACATACGCTTAATTCCAATTATATTCTCAAAGTCAATAGAAACATCGCTCATATCTAGTGCAACAAGCAAACTACCGACTTGTCATTGTTATTGATGTGCCAACGAAAATTGTACAGACTGCTGCTTCTAAATTGAAGGCATTTGCCCAAAGTTGTCCAACAGTTTTGTTTGCGAGCCTACTAAGCCCGTACAAAAGAAAAATGTTCATTTAGCATTGAACACTAAAATTAAGCTTTTATTATCCTACCACACATACAATGTCAATCGCTCAAAAACAATCTCGGTCGTTTGCGTCAGCTATTCTGAAAACTGCACAAACCGCTTTCACAATATCGATTCAAGACATTACCAAAAGTAGTCCAACAAATTGTTTGCACTTGATTAACACAATAAGATGTCTCAAGGATTCAAACACACGTTTGACAATGTTGGCGCTCGTATTAATAGAGTTGTACAACACTATTATTTACTGCGAACTGTAGAATTCTACTTTTGTTATACCCAAAAACACTTTCACTGATAACAGACCAAATAATACAGTCGTTCTCTCACAATCCCGCCGCACTACTATCGTCCGAAACATTTACAAAAATTTCTACTAACAATGAAACCACATCTCATTCCACCACATCCGAATCATTTACAGTTTCAACAAGAAGTAATACTTGGGGAAATAACACCCACGTTGAAGCAATTGAAAAAGCAATAATCGCAATCATCCAGATCCAGGCAAACAACTCTGCGAGATTTAGGTTAATTTGCGCAAATAATTGTCTAATTATTATTGGGGAAACATTTGTCAGTGCATACAATTTCCCTTCCAAACTTAATACATTTGTGTTTTATTGCCTTTAGCCTCCTCTTTTTCTCTTTTCTTTCTTCTCAATGGTCAATACATTTTACCATACTATACAGTATTCACGAGTTGGGTTCTTAATGTATATCACTCTAATAAAGCATCGTCTGACAATTGCTCTAATATGTACGTAGCTCTAATTATATGCTTCTTTGCTATTTGCGTTGTTGTTCAGAAATATCCTAACATTAACATTTTGCTTGCCAATGCGACTTCTTTCTGATTATATACTAGTCCCACTAATTAATCGTTATACTCCATATTAAATATCCACACTGACTAAAAATTTTCTAATTGTAGGAAGAGGCTAAAGCGAGAACATAATCCAATATTTCCAGTTTCATTAATTGCGAGAATCTACTCCCAGCATAAAAAGTTTGCATTGCGCAGCAGGTTTTCTGCTACTCTAGCTTTATTACTGAAAATGGGATGCTATTTCTGATATAACGGTAAAAATAAATAATTTAACTTCATCAAAAAAACGCGAGTTTGCTTTAAAGAATAATGGAGATAAATTGCGTTTTAAAATTATTACATATAAGTACATCATAATAATAAATAATAAGCTTTCTGAACTATTTAACTATCTTGTACTGTTGTTAAGTTGTGTGAATTTTTGTGAGTTTTACATATTGCACATGTGTAGCGAATTCGAGTTATCCATTGTCATCATCTAAGCAGCTTTAGTATTAAGAGTTGTTTAATGAACTATCATTATCCTCCAACCTAAACCAACTGTGGTCAGTTAGCTTTTCTTGAACTTCTTGCGGTTTGGTGAGTTCTCGAAATTTTTTCCCTTCCTCAACCCATTGTTCGAATTGTTGCCGGTTACCAAGAACATACATATATCGTGGGTTTCTCTTTACGGCATCTTGAAAGCGTGACGTTCTCCTTTTCCTGAAACCAAAGTATTCGAAGTTTCTGATGAAGTGAATAGAGTGTCAGCTCATAAAGATAAATAATGCAAATAAGCGATTTCACTAACAATGTCACCTACTCTGCATCTAGCACGAATCTTGCACGCAATCTCAAGATTTCTCGTTTCCCAAATACTTTGGCTGCGGCATATATATCGGCCATGATGGCAATAAGGATGTTTAACATAATAATAACTAGAAGCAAGCTTGCAATGACGGTGAAGATTATAACTGGATAATAATTCCAGTCCACATTATCCCATCTTCCATTCATCCAATTGTAAGAGGATAACACGGAAGTCCATAAAGTTGCAAAACTATTGTCAGACACATCTTGCGGATTGTAGTTTTGATATACTGTATAATTCGTCTGTTCGACGCCGCCATTAGAAGTTGTAGTGTTGACACCGAGCCGCAGAACATTTGGTGATAAACCAATTTGTGTTGGATCATGCAAAAGCACGTACCTTTGCGTGAAACGCGAAATTTAGTATTTTACATGCCTCTTTCAAGAAATAGTTGGAAGACATTTAAATTCTACTTACATGGCATGCCCGAACGCTACGACGAGTATAAACAATGACGTCAAGAACGGTAAAATGTGCGAGATTATGTTGCTGATGATGAACACATAAGAGCCAATAGCTAATGTATTCGCAAGTACAGTGTTAAAAGATTAAACGTTACATAAAATACTTGAAAGCGGAGAATCGTGTCTCACCTTCAAACGGTCTCAGAAGCAACAGTAATTGGAACCACATGATGAATGTACTCATGGAAATAAGGAAAAGGATGCCTCTGTCTATTTCCGTCTGACCAAATCCCCACGCCCCATTTTCACCACGTGTTGCTCTGGATGTCAAGACTACAGCTGTTGTTATCGGAAGAGCGGCCGAACATATGTTGATTACGCTAAAGAACAAGACTCTTTGCTGATGACGGACCATTGCCCGCATTTGAAACATTGCATAATAGACCCCAATTGCAAGGAAGCATACAACTATAGCATAATGACTATTGTTTTGATGAATGTATTGCCATACAAATACATCAAATATTATCAAATAACAAAAAAACACAAACAAAAAGATGAAATAGAGACGCGATGCGTCATCCCATGCATAATTGATAAGCCCAGAAATAACCGGGTTGTCAAAAAATATTTCATTATTCTCAGCATTCACAGCCTTTTCTAGAATCGGAACGATACCGTCATCGTTAACTGGTACCGGAACACGACGCACGGTGTTTATACGTGTTTCAGGATCCCTAGAAAAAAAAGTTCGTGTGAACTTATTAAAACGGGTAGCTTGAAATACGAATATGATGTTAAAAAGTATATGGTGTAAATTACATTGGATAACATTCACGTTTCTAAGAATTAAGCCACCGAAAACCAATAACCCATAAGAATCATCCCCAAGGGAATATTTCATACTCGCCGCGGAAGTCTTACCTTACTCGGTCAAACATAGCTCCGACTCTTTTCAAAACAAATGAAAAGGGGGCGGATATAAACTTTGCTAACTTAATGTGCTGAACTCGTCGCATCCATTGGTCTGCGAACAACCTGAACTTTAGCGCCGTAGTCAAATGGGCGTGTCTCTGATTTGCAATTACGTCAATTTCCGTTAACCGCTCCAAGTCATCGCGAATATTTGGTAACGATCGAAAAATGGTCGTGTAAGATGCAGAAGGATGTTGATGATGATGGAATGAATGTCCGGCGAACGTTGGATGAGCCAAAAATCTCTTTCTTAGAATATCCAAATCTAAGAAAAAGTAAATAGTAAGGGAACTTGATGCCAAAAGCAGTAACCAGATTTAATCAATTAATATTTTTATTTCAATACTCACCGTCTACTTTAGATGGTTTCGGATTAAAGAACTCACAGACCTTCTTCAGAGCTCCTCTTACAGTACATCCTTTAGATGATTTCGGCTTAGGGGACAACAGAGCTCCTCCTGCAGTACACATCCAACCACAATGAGTTTTGGCATGATGAGCATAATATGTGAGTAAGTCCTCGGCCAACTCGACGTTTGTCTCGATGGCCACCTCTATATCAGTTTTCTTCCGTTTTCCGTCATCATTAAGCCATGAGTATTCTCGCGGAATGTGTAACGGACGACAATTATGTTCATCTTCACTTTCACCATCATTAACCTTAAGCAAGTCATGTGTCAAGCGATAACATCCTCCAATGATTAAAGAACTCATCAAGTCGTGTCGCACTTCGAGCAGACGCCATTCATCAGGATGTTCTTTAATAAAGATGTAAACCATATTGGTAACGCGATGTTTGATTTCATCGAACAATATACGTCTTTCGTGCGACTGGTTTTCGTGCAACTGGTTTTCGTTCTTCTTCCTATCCAACCATTCAAGTGCTTTACATGCGTCTACAACCACTTTACTGGGATCAATTGGCCATACGATGTGCAAGACATCCTCCCGCTTGATTGTGAGATCGAACTTATCTTTGTAAATCGTGATAGTGATCATTGGATCCGTCTCGGAATCGGTTGCAACGCTTCGGTTGCAACGCCTTCATACGCGTATATGTACAGTAATCGACGTTTACGGTCTGAGAGGCGCTCCCATATTTGTATAGAATCTCTTCCGATAAGAAGTTGTTTTCGACTTTCCCCTTCCTTATTTTCATCTAACCATGCACCTATTATCTGATTACCGTCCGTCATCCATGGTTCTATCCTACATATGATCAGCTGTGTAAATTTGGAATCTGGTAGTTCGTGTATTTTTCCATTTAACTCGTATGCTTTTGAATATTCTAATTGTCGGTCAGCCACAATTGGTGAGTCCTCTCCTCCATTGACTTCTCCCTTTTCCGGATCGAAGTGGTCAAGAACTGACTTTAATTCACCTTCGTCTGTGACAAATAGTGTCGTATTGCCAGCCCATCTGACGCCATAAAGATTCGGTCTTTCATGAAAGAAGCCATTTGGTAAATTAATTTTTATACCTCTGTCTTTTCTGCACGTGAATAACTCCCACACGGTAGCCTCTAATTCGCCTGTTTTTCTAGATTCTCTGATAATTAGTAAACATTCGTCATTATTGATGAATTCAATCAATATTATTCTATACAATTTCGATACATCCTTTCTTCCGCATTCTAAACCGTTTTCCATCAGATAAATGTTGATTGACGTAGTATCGAGACTAACTGCCAACAAAGTACCATTTTTCGATATTGCCAGTACTGGTGTATCAAAACCAATTAGACTCGGATCGCCATGGTGTTGAAGATCGAAAAGGTGCCTTCCCGTAATTAGATTGTACACACGAAGTCTTTTCTTCTTTGGCTCAGGTTCAACGTACGTATGTGACTTGATCATCCTTGTTAAAAATTGAAAGCAAGCTTTGCTGGATAGGTCTTTCCACTTAACTTTCATGTTATGTCTGTATGCCTTCGGGATATCACGAAACCATACACCAGCTTCATCCAAGGTTCTGTATTTTCTTGTATGTCTTTTCTTCTCCGGATCAATGTTACATTTAAAGATTCCTCCTTCATTTGATACTGTCAGTAGCCACTTATCCGAGTCAGTGTCCGATGCAACATTGACTACTCCAGCAACCTCATCTAATGACGTTCCTATCCTTTTCCATTTATCAGAGCTATTACGATCCATCACGAGCACGTACGTTGAACTGGGATCTTGCAAAGGTGCACGTCCAGATTCTAAATCCATGTCATTTTCAGGAGTTTTTCCGTTAATTGGGAAATAGGAAAGTGCAACTAAAATTTTTCCATTCTTATTCGCATTGGATATGGCTAGACTCCACGTTGGCATAATAGAATGTGGAGCTCCTCGTATATAGTTTGCATTAATTGTATACGAACTAGCGGAGACTTGGGAGACTTTATTTCCGTCGACTTCGTACGTTGTCAGAGATCCAACGATCTCATTTTTTTCTCTCTCTTTGGAATAAAATTGAGATGGGGAGTGAACAATGAGTTGAACGTAGGCAAATCTATCTATATACTTCTAATGAACTTACGAATGCCAAACTTGACAACTTCTTTTCCATTCTCACTTATGGCGATATAATATTGCCATCCTGATTTAGAGTAAGCTTCCTCCATTTGTGCATAACATTTACTTGCAATAAGATAAAATTGGATATCCCAGCAAAGAAGAACTGAACGATTCTCCTTTTATACTGATCCAGCGTCAAGTTCGTCCTAATGGCGTGACATATGGTTACAAATACTTGTCCGCGTCTCGTTCGTTGTGGCAATATCGATAACTATTTCCAGAATTTGTTTATACTTTAATCAGTGTTGGCGATAAGCAGGATATCTGGTTTGAATTCCTCGCGATACACCAAAAAGCCACATTACCGTTATTTCGTTGTTATCGTTGAATTACTGTATTACA